ATGGATTCCTCATTGATGCCACCGCACCAACAGTGACTACACGCACTGCAATTGACCTGAGTTGGGGGTCACTGAAGGCTGATACACAGGTACTGCACTCTGCTATTGTGCATGGGTCCATAACGGTTACATGAATACAAAATACTGTTTTACATGTCTAATCATTAATCTGTAGTTTTGATTTCTAACGGAAAAGGAACTCATTTTAACTGAACTGCACCATTCTTTGTTTATGAACGAGTAAGCCCCTGCCTACATAGCGTCACTTTATGCTGAAAGAACAATTCATTTGGCGAGCAGTAGGTCATATGTTGCATGAGATCATCCACCGTATCTAGTGAGTGTCTTTCTGATAATATGCTATGTAACCACTGCTTATCATTGAATGTTTTGATACTCGAGATTTTTAGGAACATTACTATGCCACCCTTAATCTACACCTGTCAATGATATTCCAAACAATGTATACTTACCCTTTTTTCAGGTCATCAGATCACTCCTACGAGTCAGTTGGCAGTTTGCTGACCCCGACTCTGGGATAGAGTATCACCTCCTGTCTGTGACTACTCACCAGGAATCCCGCCACGACCTACCTACGATAAAGGTAGGGATTTATAGTCTTTAGTTTGTTACATAAATGCAAAGGCAATGCATACACTGTCGATATCTATCAGTGAACAAAACCAGAAGTTGCGAGGTTGAAGATTCACAAAATCTACTTAAGTCACGGTTTTGTGCAGGCTTAAGCGAATCTGTACGTATTAAATCGCATTAGCTGTAGTTTATGTTATGCTCCACCTCTACTACAGAGGATGAATGATGATGATGATGTTATGGAATCTTGTTAGAATATGTCTCTATCTATTGAGAACATACCCTTTCTTATTACATTGATTCAGAGCTTGTTTGGCCATTGTACAATTTGTCCTTTCACATATATGCAAATGGTTTCACTTATTGCTTATTTGCCTGTATACAGGTCAGCGGAAATGACCAGAGCTACACGTTCAGTAACATGACATTGCACGATGGGAACCGCTACTCAGTGACGGTGGTCGCCTGTAACAGGGCAAAGCTCTGCACAGAATCCACCTCAACCGAGATCATGGTTGGTTTGAACCATCTTTTAGTATGGATAACATTTGTCAAGTGTTATTTCAATTTCTTACCTTACAATGACACAACATTATGTGATTTGCCATATGTAAACTCCGAATACACAAAGTTGTTGACAGACCGTGAAAAGTAATGAGGACGCTGTATACAATACAAATGTCTCCTCACATATGAACTTATATACTATTAGGTGGACGGCTCACCCCCAAAAGTTGGGACATTCGCAGTAGGAACGGACCACGCCATAGATAATCAGCGGCCTCAAAGTGGGTGGATGACGTGGCAAAACACGTCAACGGCAACCCTACACTTCTCCGCCTGGCTTGGCTAGGCTTCACTGACGTGCATT